GTGATTTTCTTTTGGGGTCTATCCTATATGGGGTTCATCGAGCTTCTTGGATGGCCAGCTTTTCATCTGTCATGATATTGGGGGACGTTTTCTGTCAGCAGTTCTTCAATGATCGTCTCTGTGTTTTCTGTTTTCTTCACCTGTTCTGGAACTCCAATCACTCAAAAAGTTTTGCTTTTGATTGTATCAGGGTTTCTTCATTTTTCTTTGTTCTTTTTTCTGAGTTTTCCTCAAACAGAGTCGTATCCAAGTGTTTGTCTTCAATTCCGCTGATCCTGTCTTCCACCGTTTCAAATCTGCTTCTCAGCCCTTCTATGACACCGTCCATTTCTGAAATCTTGTTGTTTACTTTTGGATTTCTAATTGTTGTTTTTGTATAATTTCTAGTTGTGATTTTGTTTTGGCATTTTGTTCCTGCATTATTTTCCTGAATTCTTCCATGAATTTGTCTGCCTTTTCCATAAATTTGTCTATTTTTTCCTCATTTTTGTCTGCTTTGTTTCAACTCTTGGATAATTCTGAGTATTAGAGATTTGAATTCTCTATCAGGTAATTCTAGTGTCTTTTCTTCTACTTGAAAGTCATCTGGTGTTTTATTTTGGACACCTACTGGAACCATCCTGTCCTGTTTTTGTAAGTGTTTTGATTTTTTTCTGCTGTCTTCAGGGCATTCAGTAGTTATTTTTCTCATTTATTGATTGTAGATTTGTTTGTTTCATCCTGTTTTTTAATAAAATTTGGCTATGTCTGAGCAGGTGGGCTGTGTGTTCTTTGTTGTTTGCTCGTCTGTGGGCATGATACTTTTTGCCTCCTTCTCCAATTGGCAGGGTCAGTCACTCAGATATGGTACAGCAGGGCAGGTCTAGCTGAAGAGGATTTGCTGGGATGGGTTGTTTGTGGCACTTACTACAGACACCCGGGTGGGCCGGTAATCAGTGCAGGGCAGGTTGCAGTAGGCCGTGCCTGTACTGCTTGGTGGTGTGATGTTTAGCACATGGTGCAGGTAGGCAGGATAGAGGGGAGAGATTGTGATGTGTGGAGCTAAGATGAATATGGTAAAGAAGAGAGAGAGGAGAGAGGAACAGGAACCAAAAACATACAAACAAAAAAGAGTGCTAGGGGAGCTTGCCGTTGGAGTGGTGAGATGAGAGACTATGAAATGGAGAAAAACAAGAAGGGGAAGAAGAAGAAAAAAAGAAAAGAAAAGAAAAAAAGAATAAATAAAAATTAGAAAGAAAAAAGAAAAGAAAATCTCCCAGGGATCCCACCAGTGTGGCTATAAGGTCTGGGGAAGTTGTTCCCAGATGTTGAAGTACAGGTTGGCTAGAAGGCATAGAGGTGTCATTCAGCACCAGGTGTTCAGGTGACAGGAAGAGAAGGATGGTATGGAGAGATAAGAAACTGAGTAATGAAGAAAGACAAAAAGGGAAAAAGAGGGAAAAGAAAAAGCAAATTAAAAAAAAAAGAACAAGAAATCCCCCCAAAAAACAGAAAAAAGAAACCACAAAAAAAGAAATGCCCTCAGGGATCCCTTTGTGTGTCTGCCCAAGCTCAGGGGGTAGGTCCCAAGCCATGCAGTGCTGCCTGGTTATAACGGGCTCCCAACTCGAGAAAAGAAAAAGAAAATGAACAAACAATTCAAAACAAACAAACAAAAAAGCCCTGGGATCCCACCAGCATGGCAGCACAGACCAGGAAGCAGTTTCACATTCAAGTGGAGTTTCACAGCCTTTCAGGAAGAAGCAAAGATGGCGCACAGAGCCAGGTATTTGAGAAAAAGGAGGGGGAGGTGGTGAAAGGTAAGAAAGAAAGAAAAGAAGTGGAGAAAAGCAACACCAGCAGCCAACAAATGGCACTCAGCGAGTTGGTCAGTGCGGGCAGGTGCAATCCAAGCAGCTGGTGCTTCCCAGCCAAGAGACTGTGGCCGTGGGAAGCAGAGGAGGCTGAGTGGGGATGCAGAAGGGTCGGGGGTGGGAAAGTGTATATCGTTGGTTACCAGTTATTCTGTCTCCTGCTGGAAGCGCCTTGAAGCTGCTTTTTCGTATACCCTGTTCACTGGTCTCTGATAGGAGTCCAAGATGGCGGATCCGTGCTGTGTTAGCTGATAAGGGACCTCTGTATGTATGTCTCCTCACTCTCTGTTCTCTGTTAGTTTCTCATTCCATTTGCTGCTTGGCTGAGTTCTTCATCTCTTTATTTGATGCTCAGGGTTTCAGGATTGCTGTTTTCTCTGTTTAGCTTAGTTTTTTGGATATTTGCTGTGGAGGGAAGGTGTGGTGCTTCTGCCTAGAGCACCATGTTGCCAGAAGTCTCTATAACGTTTTAAAGTGTGAACCCTAGACCAGTGTCTTGGTACATTTATCAAAGATGCTAAGCTCTAAGGTTTAAGCTTTTGGTTTCCTTCTTTCCGAACTTAATTCACTCTGATGGGTAGAGACCTAGTCTCTTATTTTAGACCTTAAATATACTAGCTCCTCTGATAGGAAAGTACTTTAAAGTAGCTACTAATGATTTTAATTTTAACATTGTGATTCTTCACTGAGAAACTATATCATAAAAAAGGTACAAAACTACCACTTCTCCCTGTAAATTTCATAACACAGGTCAGGAGCTGCCACCTCCCCCTGCAAACTTGGCAAAACAGAGCACTGTTTTCCAGGTTTTCTCTGAGCCACAAATAGAAACCTAACGAGGAACACCACAGGGTTTGGGCAGTGTTTCGCTTAGACCAATGTGTATCTTCGTTGGGTGACATTTTTCTTGCAAGTGGCAGGCAGCCTAGTGTCTCACCTGTCTTGCCACCACCTCATCCTGTCACGAGAGACTTTAACACTCATGAAAAGCACTGGTGACTGCCTTAATGGCTTTTACTGGTTGACTCATGCCCAAGTTTTTGCAGCTTATAGTGACTCAAAGTTCTTTGAAAATAAAATTACCACTTTAATGTTTCAAACGCCTGCATCTGGGTCTAAATTGCAGTTCACCTAAGGAGTTACTAAGTGTCACTCTTAACCAAATGATCAAGAAAAAAATCTAAGAAAGATTCTCCTTAATCAAACAATCAGTTTTTCAAACAAATATGCCGAATAAAACTTAAGAAAACATGAGAAAAAGAACATAAAAGAATAAGCAAAATCTCGTTTTCCGAGATCACTCACCCTGTTGGTGTTGAAGGGACATGGAGAGGGAACACGTGGGTCCAGAAGATAGGACCTCTCTTTGTTAGCTTCTGCTTCATTGTCCAGGTCTCTCCTCAAGGTTGACTGGATTCGTAGCTTCAGAGATCCTGCCAACTACACCATTAACTGTTGTAGGGTAAAAACATCACAAACTTTAGTAAAGCAAAAAGAAAGTTTTATTTGGCGTATATTCAAAAAGGCAAAGTGGGAAGCAGAAAACCGTGCTGCCAGGGCCATGTCTGCCCTAGTCCAAGGAAATATCACAGAACAGACAAAAGTGAGAAAACAGACAAGCATACTGCTAGAGCCATGTCTGCCCTAGTCCAAGGAAATATCACAGAACAGACAAAAGTGAGAAAACAGACAAGCATACTGCTAGAGCCATGTCTGTCCAAGTCCAAAGAATATTACAGAATAGGCAAGAATGGGAAATTGTAATTGAATATTAAAGTCTCCACCCAGGGCGGGACTTATCTGCCATTTTCTATACATACTAAAGGAAAAATAATGCAATTTGTCTTACTGCCCCTGTGCACCATGATAACCCATGTAGTCCATGATGTTTGTATGTATCTCCTTGTGAGGCACGGTATAAAAGGTTCTGCCTCCCTTTGTTGGGGGAAATTGATTTGAGGTATACACCTCCTTGCTCCTTGCCTGCAAGCTTGCAATAAACGTCCTTCTAAACGCCCTTGTATTTCCTCCCCTCCAGATACTTTCATTGACTCAGAGTGGCACTGGGCAGGACCTACGTTTAGGTAACATAGACGGGGAGGAGAGGTTCCCCGTGTGAGACCCGGCGTTCCTTTACCTTTTGGGGCACTGTCCAAGAGGCTGAGGCACAGCACGCCTGTGCCCAGCATGTCTGCTCTCAGAGCTGGGAGTCAGTGCAGCCGGCCTGGCCCCATGGGTGAGATGGGGAGCTCCAGGAGCCTTTGGAGCAGCGTGAGCATCCCATACCTTGTGGAAGCAGTGTCTCAGTGTCTGTTAACAATGTGGACGTCCATGTCCCACTTGCCTTGTGGGGTGACTGGGTGGCAGCAGGGAGGGGTCCTGAGCACCAGTATTATGCTGTTTATTGAATAATTTGTGTGATGTTAACTATGTGCCAGGCACAATGGATCAGAGTCTCAGAGGCTGAGGGGACTTGGGGGTCCCTCAAACTGATGGGATTTGGAGCCTCTCAGGGTGAGGAATCTGGGGTCTCCAAGGCTGACGTTTGAAGGTCTAAGGCTGACTTTTTATGAGAGCTTATTACGTTTCTGAGGCACGGCGGAAGTACCTCGTGTGCTGTCAAGTCTCTCAGGCTCTCACACTACCCACCCAGCTGGGCGCCCTCTCCAAGCACCTGTGAACTTCCGCGGTCAACAGAGAAGACGTGCATCGGCTGCAAATCGCCAATCACCGCACGACCAGAGAGGTCTGACCTGTCGGTGGTTGGGGGGTGGGGGGCTAAAGGGTGTGTGTGTGTGTGTGGGGGGGGAGCTACATCTAGCAATCACGGGGCAGGGCCCAGTCAGGCTTTGGATTGTGGCGGTGGGACACAATCTTCCCGCTCCTGTGGAAGGTCCTGCCCCCACCCAGCGGGGACTGGCTGCTCTGGGTCCCCGAGCCAAGGGGTCTGTGAGGAACTGACAAACGTGAGTAACGCGCTGTAGGCTCCAGTCGGTGGAGCAGCCCTGCTGACTATGGTTTCCATCTAAGCTGTCTAAGTCATGCATGGTGGGTGATTTCCAAAAGATCTGTCGCGTCCGCCTGTGTGTGGGGACTGTCCTGGTTGGGCCAGGCACAGAGGCGGTGCCTGCAGGGCCTCAGTGGTACGGAGGGGGACTTGGTGGCGGCTGGGGTGAGGGTGGGTGTGGGGGGCAGAGCCTCGAGGTGGGAGCGGGCGGGGCCTCGGGGTACTGAGGAGAGGGGCGTAGGTGCCCGAGGTGGCATGGTGGGTGCCGGAGGCGGACGGTGAAGGAGAGGCCTCGGGGACAGAGACCCACTCCAGCAGAATAAGCGGGTTGAGGGTAACGGTGACATTAATGGGAGTATTGAGAGAGCGCCCCTTTCTCCAGGACGCCCCTGGAGCCCAGGCCGGGCCAGATACCGCCTCTCTCTACAGGCCTTGGGGCTCCCCCTCAGCCCACATTTCTCGGTGTGCCCTTCTGGACTGACATGTCTGTACGCTGTTTTTTTGATCTTCAGCTATTCTTTCACACGTGACTTATCCCTCCATTTGCGTTTTATCCTCCACTCGCAACTGAGCCCTCCACTCATAATGTATCCCTCCACATGCTACTTATCCTTCCACACGCTATGTGATTGGTGGCGTAGTGTTCTGCCCTGTGCCTCTGCTGTGACCAGCATCACCAGTATGTCTGCCTTTCACTGTCGTAGCTCATGGCTGATAGGCTGAGCCCACAGACCACATTAACAGTCTCTCCAACTGTAGAAAATAAATTTATACACCTACATCCAAACATGAAGAAAAATTAAAAGAAAGCATAAACATGTTATTGGCAGTTATCTTCACATTATACAATTATAATTTTCTTATTTATTTTCTTTGTATTTTTCATTTTTAATAATGAGCATGTATTACTTTCATAATAATAAAAAAAGAAACAAAACTGTATTCAGAATCAATAAAGAATACTTACAACTCAGTATGACAACGTAGCAATTAAAAAATGCACAAAAGACTTGAATAGACACTTCATAAGAGAATATAAACAAATGGCCGATAAGCACACTAAATGATACTAAACAAAGTCATCAGAGAATACAAATTAAAATCATAATGATATACCACTACATACACATTAGAATGGCTAAAATGAAAAAAACTGATAATACCAAGTGTCAGTAAGGATGTGGGGAAATCAGAACCCTCATCCACTGCTGGTGGGAGTACAAACTGGTGCAGCAATCTGAGAAAACTATTTGGCAGTTTCTTTAAAAGTTAAGCATACACCTTCTGTAACTCAGAGAAATGAAAGCACAGGTTCACACGGCAGTTTTATTCATAGTTGCAAAAACTGGAAACAACCCAAATATTCTCAAACATGGGAGTAAGACAGACACACATGTGTACTGTATGATTCCATTTACCTGAAACTGTAGAAAAGATGTATCTAATCTAATCTATAGTGACAGATGCAGACCTGTGGGTGCCTGGGAGAAGGGGTGGAGACTGAGGGAGATGGTACAGGATAACTTTCTGGAGGAAAGGAAATATTCTGTAACTGGATTATGGGTGTGCTTACACAAAGGTATGTATATTGCATATTAAACGATGCATTTTTATATGTGTAAACTCTACATACATAAAGATAATTTTTTAAAAAGCAAGACATATTAACAGTCTGCTTCCAGTGATTTAAATAAGTAAATTTAGACACACACACACACACACACACACACACACACACACACAAAAAGGAAACACAAATATATGACCAAGAGTTATTTCTACCTTACTAAATTATGAGCATTTTTGTCTTCTTTTTTCTTTTCTCTATTTTCCCTCTGTTTATAATTAGAATTATTACTTTTTAGTGGGGAAATTTTATTTTAAAATTAACTTAGCACATTTTTGCCTAATTGAAAAAGATTGAATCTAAAAGTGTCTTAGTCATCTAGTGCTGCTATAACAGAAACACCACAAGTGGATGGTTTTAACGAAGAGAAGTTTATTTCCTCACAGTTAAAGTAGGCCAAAAATCCAAATTAAGGGCGTCGGCTCCAAGGGAAGGCTTTTTCTCTCTATTGGCCTTCTTTTCAGTGTTCCCCCGGACTAGGAGCTTCTCTGCACAGGGACCCCGGTCCAAAGGAAGCGCTCTGCTCCAGGCACTACTTTCTTGATGGTACGAGGTCCCCTGTCTCTCTGCTCACTTCTGTCTTTTATATCTCAAGAGATTGCCTCAGGACACAATCCAATCTTGTAGATTGAGTCCTGCCTTACTAACACAACTGCCACCCACCCTCCCTCATTAACATTATAGAGGCAGGATTTACAACACATAGGAAAATCACACAGTACCAGGAATCATGGCCCAGCCAAACTGACACACACAGTTTTTTTGGGGGACATAACTCAATCCACGACAAAAAGCAAATTTGGCCACATGTTGTTTTTCTTTAACAACATTGTTTTGTGTTCTGTTTTTCTTTAACAACATTGCTTAGTGTTCACTATTTATTAAAGACTTCTTACAAAAACTAAATTGCTCTTGAAGACTCCACTTTTGACCCAGCTTGCAGTTTAGGGTAGACTGAGTCTTTGTTTCCTTGGTCCCAAGGTCTGTCTCTGTTCTTGGTCTCAGGGACCACGCCTGTCTTCAGTGAGGAAGGTGCTGCCTCCTCCCTGCCCAGGAGGGAGATGCTGGGGCTCATAGAGGGGCTGAATTCAAAAGAGACATAGGGCACACCAGGACAAGTAAGTGCAAGAGGAAATGGCCAGATAAGGTTATATGAGGGAAGCCAGAAGACCTTTCAGAGGTCAGACTTGAGAGAGTCTAGGTGGGCTGTGCCCAAATCCGGGAGGGGGTTGCTTGCAGGGAGTTGAGGGAAGAATCAGCAGTTTACAGGCAGATAAGCAGCCCACAAACCCTAAGAGAGATGTGATCATGATGATGGGCACTGCCGGCTGCTCCCAGAGGGCCCAGGGCACAGTGTGGCCTGGGCAGGGAAGGGCCGTGGACTGGCCATGCTGGCCCCTTCATAGGTGGCAAGGGCTGATGCAGGACATGGTGGTCAATCCTGAGGAGTCCCTTTCCTGTGGGGGGGCGGGTACCTGTCTGTGAGACACAGCTCTGGGCCTCAAGCCCGGACCACAGTAACTTCACCCAGGTGCAGACCTCACCTGATACTTTCAGTGGCCACACAGGCTCCAGTTCATGGCAGAGGAGGTGGTGGCCCAGAGCAGCCTCCTGAGAACCCAGCCCTGGGCAGGGATTGGGTTTAAATCCTGACTGATCAGTCAGGCTCTGTGTACAGGTCCCTGTGGGGCCGCTATGCACATGATTTGGAAGAGAAAATGTAGAGAAACTAGAGCTTGTCCAGGGAGGGCCTGGGACAGGAAGCTCCACCTCAAGATGAGAGATGCCTACCCCCTTACCCTCCTGACCCTCTGCAGACATACCCAAATGTGACTTATGCTCCTAGCTGGGACTCAGCCTTCCCAACTCAGCCTTGGGGCAACCCTGAAGCTAGAAAGGGACTTTCCCTCCATTCTCCAGCTTATCACCTCTACAGCCATGTTTTAGACTTGGAAACTCTAGTCCTGAAATAAGCAAGTCCACCTCTTTGGTTGCTGTAGCCAGGAAAGTGAGCACTTACCTAAAGCCATTATAACAACCTCTATTATGAAAATACACATTACAGTTTGAAATCCAGTCTTCAACCATTATCCCCTGGTGGAGGGCTTTAACCCAGAGAACAAGTCAGATACTTCAGGGAAGATGGGAATTTGATTGAAAAGCTGTGTAATATTGTGGAGGACCTGAACATCATGGGCCACTTCTTTTCATAAATCAGTCTGGGCTGGACTAGAATTATTAATGTACATACAACAAGTGGCTCCTGGGAAGGTGCAGGTGCCCCCTTCTTGGCTAGTAGATACCTAAAGCTAGATGATCATCTAACACCGTTTGGGCTAGAGACTCACGTTGTTGTGGCATTGGGGAAAGAGTCTCAGGTAGTTGTGAAAAATATATGGTCAGTGTGGTAGAAAGCTGCTGATTGGCAGAGATAATCTGCTGTTTTTCAACAAGGACAGTGCTGCCTACGCTGGTTCCTGCTAGTGCTACCAGCAGGGAAATGCCCAGCATGATGGGTGAGGTGCTGTGAATTACTCGATATGTCCCTTTTACCCATGCATGGTCTTGTAACAACCATACAATGATTGGGTGGGGCTATTCAAATAAGGTATTTGTGGCCTACCAAGGTGATTAGACAGCCTGCTAATAATGCACCATCCTCACAGTTTTAAGTATGTTTGAGCCCGATGGCGCATTTGCTGTGTTTATCCATCTCACTGAGTTTCTCTTTTTTTTCATGACCCTCTTCTTTACCAAGCATGATATCCTTCTCTAGCGATTGGTTTCCCCGATGACCTGTCCAAAGTAAGTGAAGAAAATTCTCCCATCTTCACTTCAAAAGAGCATTCAGGCTGTACTTCCTCCAAGACTGATTTAGTTAGTCTGAGGGGAAGCCTGGTCAATGAGGGAGTAGGGATGTGATGTCAAAAGCTGATTTCCATTAATTGAGGGCCCTAATTGAGAGCACTCTGGCAATATCCCTTAGACAATGTCATAATTCTTAGAACATATAAATCTCTATTTATGTAACCTTGACTTCCTTGGCTTCAGATAAAGGGATCATTTTGTTATTATTGAAGTTAAACTTTCCAAAAATATGCTTTGTCTTGATCTCTCTATTTTGATAATTTTCCCTCTCCTTATCTACGCAGCATCCCCTCTTTATTTTCTTTTCCTCTAATTTTACTATTTCAAATATTTCATAATTTTTAACATCACACAATGACTTTCTAATCACTTGTATATTTCTATATTTCACATAATTTCTCTGTGTTAAGAGTCTTCATATAGAAGATACTCACGTGTGTCTTGCATTCTTTAACATTTTTTTCTTCCTTTAATGACACTATAACAGTTTCTTCTTTTTACAATTGTTTTTAAGGCATGAAAGTTGAACTTAAAATGCACAAAATGATATGTGCACAAGACATCTGCAGGAAGGACCTATCAAACTGCATGTCAATGGTAAGCATCATTGGGACAAGCCTTGGTTCTCCACATTAGATACCTAGGAATGGGATAATTAGGCGTTGAGGACAGTAACCTGAGTGAATATAGAGTTGTGCATAAGGGCTGTCCCAGCAGAAAGTTTTTAATATTTTGAATTTGGAGATAGAATTGGCCTGAACT